TCACATCCTAAACGCCTCCTCTGCTGTTGCTGGAGACAGCCGGCCCGGTTCAGACCCTACCAGCTGACCTTGATCAACTGATCTGGCCTCCCCGGGCCTCCGTTGGCTCACCTGTAACGTGGGGCTGATGCCAGCCCCCGGCTAAGTTGTTGTCAGAGCCGATGAGAATGGAAACATGCGTGAGGCAGTCCAGTCCCCCTCCCTCTGTCCGTCACCTCCACCCCCTCCCTCCTCTGGGACCTTAATCCCATTCAGTCTCCTCCTCCTTCACCCTCTCTCTCTGACCCCTTCCTCCCACGGCCCTCTGCAGCAGTGGGGGCTGCTCAGACGATAGTCATGGAGGGAGGGGCGGTCTTAGAGGTCAAGAAAGGGCCTCCGTACCCCAACCTTATGGAGCCTTATCCCATTCTACTTTGGAGGGAAGGACATCTTCATGACGGAGGAGCAGAAGAAGTACTACAACGCCATGAAAAAACTGGGCTCCAAGAAGCCTCAGAAGCCGATTCCCCGGCCCCAGGTACCACCGCTCTGGACCCCCTCCTGCAGCCAGGCCAGGCCAGGCCGCAGTCAATGGAGGCGCCTGAACATCTGGTCCCCAAGAGGGACCACCAATTGTAGCCTGCACTCTACCTTTAAGGCTAGGCTGCTAGTGTGAGTCTGGGTCCAGCTGTAGCAAGGGCCACCCCGTCCTCATTGGCACAAGGGTGCCCTACGGCCTGGCAGCAGAGCCTGCACCCCTGCAGCCCCACCCCTGCACAACCACCTGCTCCCTCACCTGGGACCCTCAGTGGTCTCTAGGGTGAGGCCCTCGGGAAGGGGGAGAGAGAACATTCAGGCGCTCCCCAAAGTGAGCCATGCCTTCCCGAGAAGGGGAGGGGCACTTAGAGACCCCAGGGGAGGAGGGTCCTCCAGCAAGAGAGCTGCTCAAGGGCCTTACAGAAGAACTGACTCCTGGACCCAGCAGAGGCCAGCCACCCCTCGCCTCCCTTCTGTCCTCAGCAGACAGACTCTGCCTCACTCTCTCGTCTTCTCTCCTCCCTCTCCACCCACCCTGTGGTCATCCTGGGTCTCCTGCCTGCCCTGTCTTGCCTGGGCCCGGCCCTGGCCTCTGGTCCACTTCCCCATGCGCTGATCCCCGCTGCAGAACAAGATCCAGGGCCTGGTGTACGACCTCGTGATGAAGCAGGTGTTCGACATCACCATCATGATCCTCATCTGCCTCAACATGGTCACCATGATGGTGGAGACGGATGACCAGAGCAAGTTCAAGGTGGACGTCCTGTACTACATCAACATGGCCTTCATCGTCGTCTTCACGGGGGAGTGTGTGCTCAAGATGGTTGCCCTGCGCCAGTACTACTTCACCGTCGGCTGGAATATTTTCGACTTTGTGGTTGTCATCCTGTCCATCGCCGGTGAGCAGGACCTGGTGGGGATGGGCAGGCCCGGGCCTGGCTGAGCCACTCAGAACCACCTGTGCCTTCTCCTCTTGAGTGCGCCTGGTATGTTCCCAGACACACGCACACAGACACCTGGCACGGACACTTATCTCCAGAGGGTGGGCTCACAGTCAGCATCTACACACACACACACACACACACGCACACGCACCCACACACGGACACTTATCCCAGAGGGTGGGCTCACAGTCAGCCTGCCATC